CATGTGAGAGAAGAGAGTGTGCGCATGCGCGCTCGTGAGAGGAGATTGAGGGAGAGTGAGTGAGAGAGAGAGAGTGTGTGTGTATGTGTGTGTGTGAGATGGGAGTTTTGCTTTTGCTACACTGACAGAATCCTGTTTGTGTGCGTGCGTGTGTGCAGTCGAGTGATGGGAGTTTCACTTCTGGCACACTGACGGAACCCTGTTCTCCTTTGTCTGGGGCGTAGGTTCTTCATTTTGGGAAGTATCGAGACGTAGCAGAGTGCGGGGTATGTATCTATCCAGCAGCTGCTAAATCCTTTTTTGTAAGAAATTTCTCCTGTGAAGAGATTTATTACTCCCCTTTCCTTGATCTTCAGATGCATTAATTTTGAGTGTAAGTTTTAAGAAAGCACGGGATGTGTTCTCTTTATTTGTCTATTAGAGGTTTTTTGTAGGATTTTAAAAGTTTTTTAATCTATTGGTTTCCTAGAAGGTAGAATGTCATATATGAAAAAATGAGTTCCTTTCTCATACAAGTACCAATACTTATATATTTGTGTTGGGCTGCTAACTGCAAGGTTGGCAATTCGAAACCACTCGCTGCTCCGTGAGAGAAAGAGGTAGCTTTCTACTCCTGTAAAGAGTTACAGTCTCAGAAACTCACAGGGCAGGTCTACCCTGTCCTATGGGGTTGCTATGAGTTGCAATCCACTCGGATGGTAGTGAATTTGGTTTTGGGTGTTGGCGGGGGAGGGCGGAGCATGTTTATGTTTACTTTGAAAAACAAAAACAGAAGACTTACTTAGGGTTTAGCCCTGGCTTGATTACATTGAATTAAACTCCTGCAGAAAGGAGAACTACCCTTGAAGAATGTAATGTCCTTCCACAGGAGGTGGGGCTGGGAGAAGGAGAGTGGGGATGAGAGCTGGCAGAGCAGGGCGCGTGGGCTTGCTTGTCTGCTTCCCCCTCCATTGTCTGCCTGATTGTAAGGAGGACCTGGTGATTGTCTTTTCTTTATTTATTTTTAAATACTTTTATTGGGGGCTCTTACATCTCTTCACAATCCATACATTCATCCAGTGTGTCAGGTACATTTGCACATATGCCACCATCATCATTTTCAAAGCATTCTCTTCCCACTCGAGTCCCTGATATCAGCTCCCCACTTCTTCCCCCGCCCTCCTCCCTCCCTCTTGAACCCTTGATAAGTTACAGCTTATTTTTTCCCATATCTTACATTGTCCTCCGTCGCCCCTCACCCACAGTGATTTTCATTTTATGGAAGTAACCTGTGATTCTGTGGAGAACTAGACCCATGATCAATGCAGGAAAGGCGACAGCATCCCCGGTGGGGGCTGGTCAGGTGTTCAGGCAGGCCAGGGCTCAGCGTGGGGTCACCCCCACTGGGGTCTCACTTGGCTGGACAGATCCCGAATCTCTGGCGTCCCAGGCACCAGTGCCTTCCCATTCTGAGACTGGCTCCTGGGTTCCTCAAACCCTACAGGAGGTCGTTGAGCTGTGAGCTCTGGGGCCAGCCCACCACTTCCCAGGATTTGCTGAGGGGGCCGATCAGGACAGATGGGCAGGCCGGAGGGGGGAGGTTGCTCAGAGATGATAGTACAGAAAACAGTCACTTTCTGCAGTTACTGAGAGCAGTGGCTGCTGGAAGGACTTGTTTCACCTTACCCAAGATGACTTACTTTTAGACTCTTGACATCTTTTCCCCACAGAACAGACTCTTAAGGGTCAATATCCTGCCAAGTCCCAGGGTCCAAGTATCAGCATCCTTGGTTTAAGTAGCCCTGACTCCTGTCAGTGACTATACTAATACACTGCGGCTTCTAGTTAATGCAGTGTGACACTAGCTCTGTGATCGCCACATCTGAAGATGGGGACACTGTCCGTGTGAGATGCTACCTAAAACCAAACTCATTGCCTTTGAGTCAATTCTGACTCATGGCCACTCTATGAAGCAGGATAGAACTGTCCCTGTGGGTTTCAGAGAATGTAATTCTTTACAGGAGTGGAACACCTCAGCTTTCTCAACGGGGAGAAGCTGGTGAATTTGAGTTGCTGATCTTGCAGTTAGCAGCCCCGTGCATCACCACTACCAGGGCTCCTAAGGGAGTTTTTGTGTGGCCCTAAGAAGCCGCCACCATAAGCCCCTTGACCAGAAAAGGGGGTGTTAGGCTTGCAGAGGAGAGGAAGAAACCTGCAACGTTTCCAGCTTGTGTGTGTCTTAACTCTGAACTTAGAAAAAAAAACCTCTTGGGATTTTCTAAGTCAGAACTACAGACTGCCTCTTCTTGGGAATCATATTTAATGTTCGTAACTTACATTGGAGCATCACCCAGTGTTGACTATTGATGGGCTGTTTATGATCCAGTGGGTGTCCTGTTGATTTAAAAGGTTGGAATTTGAAACCGAGAGTGCCATTTATTAGGGATTTTGCATTGGAAACTATCAGGTTTCTTTGTTTTTGCTTTTTTTAAGGTAGTTTGAATACTGTATATACTCAATTATCAGCCAAGACACCTAATTTTACCACAAAAACTGCATTAAAAATGTGTTGCAAAATTCGGCTTCTATTGGAGTATATGTGGTAGTTGTTTAATAATGTAACTCCATTTGTGAAATATTTGCAGCAGTTTTATGATGTGAAAATGCACTTGCTAGTTTTTCCTTTTCGTTTTGTTTTTACGAATGGTCTTAAAGAAAATACAATTTGTGCCCGTCACAGCCTCAACAAGAAGTCGATTTGAACTCCCCACGGACGACCACGGTGGAAAGACAGACGTTTTATTGCGTGCCGGTGCCGGGGGAGTCGACGTGGGTGAAGGAGATATCCTTTACCTGAGGCAGCCTGTGTGGCCTGGTCCCCCGGGTAGTTACACGAGTATGGGTTTGGGTTTTGGTTTTCATGGAAAAGACCAGTTTGGCTTTTGAGAGTGTAAGAACTTGGTCCTTCTGCCCCAGGGAAAGGAAAACGTATTATTTGCGTGCAGAGTGTGGCCTGACATGGCTTCGTTTGTCTGCGATGAAAGAATCTGTGAACCACCCCAGAGCCCCTCCCTGAGTGAGAAACGCTGGCATTCGGCAGAGGGACTGACGAAAGAGGGCCCGGATCACGGAACTGGTGTTTGCTGTTTTTCTTTTGACCTCAGCTAAATTCATTCTAATTTTCTTAAGGGAAGACACACTGGCTCTGTGGAGAGGACTTTGTGGGAAACATCTTTTTTTCTGAGTGATCTTTCGGGCAGAGCTCACAGGCACTCAAGGGGTAGATTGTAGGGCTGGTCGGTGATTGGGCTCAGTCTAGCATGCCCATGCAGTGCAGGTAGAGCGGCTCCACCAGCCTGGGATGGCCCCCTGTATAGGACACTACTGTGTGCCACTGAGGGGCAGCACCTGGCAGGCAGATCCTGTAGTGCTGGGTCACTCTCAGCCTGCCAGAGCTGGGTCTGGGGTTTTTGAAAGCAAGAGCAACAGCCCGGCTGTGGAGACTATGGTCCATGTTCCCCAGGGGCGCTATTTTTGGGTCTCACCTGAGCACTGGGATCCCAGGCGGCCAACTCCAGGGTCTCAGTAACTGTACCCGCCGGGCTCCAAGGGGCTCCTGAGTTTTCAATCTACAGCTTCACACCAGAAGGGATTCTGCAGATATTCCTGGGTGCTTGGGTGTTCACATTTCCCTCCTGCTGGGCTTTCTGCCAACCTTAATGGGCTCCGTGGCCAGGAACTGCGCTGCATTCTGCACCCAGCAAAGCAGGCCTCTGCTTCTCTGTCGCAGTGCCGGGGCAGTGAGGAGGGAACTGCTGCAGTGTTTCTCCTCAGGCCAGGACCCTGGCTGCTCCTCCCCTTGTCCTTTTCACTCACAGCTGTCACCTGTCCCTCCATGACCAACACCAGAAATCCAACTGCTTTTGGAAAACCGTTTCCCTCTACCTAGACTACTTGTTCTGGGCCACGCAAAGGGTTTACCATAGGCTGCCCTTCGGCCCATGCTGTCTTTCCTTAACATTCCCTTGAACGCCTACATTAACGCCAACCAAGCCCGAGTCAGCCCCTCGACATCCTACACGCCCAGCCGGCACAAGCGGAGTTACGAAGATGACGATGATATGGACCTGCAGCCCAACAAGCAGAAAGAGCAGCACGCAGCCGCCGGCCACCCCGGTAGGTCAGGGCCATAGGCTCTCAGGGGTTTGGTCCCAGAGTTCATTGTGTCTAAGCTAGTTCTAGACGGGGCTTGCTTTCCAGCGGGTCAGAATGGTAGGTGGTTTGGAGAGTTTCCGCTGTACTCTGGTCATCGGTCCCCACTTGGTGGGAGGTGGCCACACAGCTGACAAGGCCCTTTCCCTTCCTGTTCCAGATTTCTATCCCAACTTTCACGTGATAGGAATGCACACTGCCCCGCCTGACGCTTGACTCCTGTGTCTCAGAAACTCCTTGCAAGAGTGGTTTGCACTTTGATGAAACTAAAAATACCAGATGCGTTGTGGGTTGAGATGCTTTCCTTCTTAAGATATAAAGCAAACACCCTTAGAATTATCTCAGATTTTTGTGATTCTTTATATAAATTTGTCCTTGTCCATTTGTTAAAACCGGCTTAACATACAAGGAGATCTTGATTCCGACAGGAGACCACATGTTGGCGTTTTGTCAAGAGAGAGACTGATGATCACACTTTCTTACCATATATTGATTGTGAATTTACTACGATGGGTAACGCCAGAGCCTTGCCACCGAGTCGATTCCAACTTGTAGTGAGTGAGCCTGTAGAAGCAGGCAGGACTGCCCCTGAGGTTTTCCGAGACTAAGGATGGAGTGGCTGCTAGTCCTATTCTTTATCTCTGCCCCTCCCATGTGTTGATGGCATCCAGCTGCTTACTTGGGGGCAGGGGTAGCTCCATGTGCAGTTGTGAGGGGCCTCCCACCACCCCGCTCCCCCAGGGGTGACTCTTGCACAGTTAGAGACCAGAGTCACAACCAGAAATGGGCACTGATTGAACCACTGCGTGTGTGTGTGTGTGTGTGTGTGTGTATACACTCATGTGACCGACCGGTCGGCGCACAAGAGAGAGACAGCGAGTTCATTTCCACAAGGACCCTTTCTTAGCTGCACTACCCCTCTTCTGCCCCCGTCCATCCCTCTGGGGGCCACACCTGTGCTTTCTAGAGCTACGGTTTTGTTGTTGCTGTAATGTTATAGAAATGAAATTGTACATGCGAACTCTCGGGATTGGCGTTTGTGTATTTTTTTTAAATCAGCGCACACCACTCCACCACCCCCTCCCCGACATGGATCAGTAGTTGGTCCTTTGGGATCACCAAGTCGATTCCATGGTGATCTGGTTAGTTATCAGCCCTAAGGTGTAGCTGCGACCTGTGTTTCCTCAACAACTACTGTGAAGCCAGCTACCGAGCAGGGGAGCACGAGCAGGGGGGAGCACGAGCAGGGGGGAGCACGAGCAGGGGGGAGCACGAGCAGGGGGGAGCACGAGCAGGGGGGAGCACGAGCAGGGGGGCACGAGCAGGGGGGGCACGAGCAGGGGGGCACGAGCAGGGGGGGCACGAGCAGGGGGGCACGTGTGGTCCCTGGGTATGTTGCCACAGAGTTTACTCAGCTGACCCAGGTGGTGGTTCTAGGTGGTTGGTTCTGTTGACTGAAGCATATGTTTTGTTACTCCTTAGGTCAAAGATGTCAACGGAACTATATGGAAGGGATATTGTTTTAAGTACAGCTCAACATAGAATTCAGGGTTGCCATTTATTTATGTAGGGGAAAAGCATTAAAATTTATACATTTTTAATTTTCTTATGCATCAACCAAAGGGCTTTGTAACAACTGAGACTTGGTAAGCTTAGGAGCCCCGCTTGTCGGAGCGGTTTTCTCCAGGCAGCCCAGAGAGTGGCCAAGGACAGCGATGCCCTCTGATTGCAGGGGGTGCTGGTGGCCTTCAGCGGTGCGGAGAGCCAAAGCGCTTAGAAACGGAAGCTTCCACTGGACAGCAGCCCAACTGCCTGACCCCGTCGTCTCCTTTCGACCTGAACTTCCCCCTGCCCGGAGAGAGCGGCCCTGCCTGCCTCGTGAAGGTAACCCCCTCCCCTCTGCCTTCCACCCATCTCTGTGCCCACAGGCAGATCGTGTGTCTCAGAGCTTGAAATGGCTTCCTGTTACTTCTGTAACAGCACCACACAGTTGCTGGCTTGAAACTAAGGTCAGAAGGCAGACACGTGAGTCTCGGGGTAACTGACGTCCAGGTGTCAGCCAGTTCTTGGCTTTTCCAACGTCTGGTGGCCACAAGAGTTTTGGTCTCTTGTCCCCCTTCCTCTATCTCAGAGCCATCCGCTGGGCATCCTGTTGACCACTCTATAGTCACACTTCCTGACCCCAGCCAGGACCAGTCCTACAGTTTTAAGGACCTGTGTGATTTCAGCGACTCTCCCAGATGATCTAGAACGAGCCTCTGCTCCCACTCAGCCATGTAAAGTAACATGCCCCATTAGGAGTGGAAATCACTGCGGGGGCGACGGTTCTATCACGGCATCTAGGAATCCTCCGGGTGCTCATCGTCTAGGAGTGGGGCTGAAGCTGGAACAACTTTTTAACTCATGTCCTCTTTCCATGTTTCCATGTCATCACCATCTTCCTGAGAGAGGGCGGCCTCTTCCTCTTTTCTCACTTGTATTTAAAACAAAGGCGAGAGGCCTGTGATCATTTCTTTCCCCATCTTGCTGGTTCTGTGTGTGTTTATCCTGCTAGGTGAAGAAGAAATGATGCTGAGTGTCAGGTTGACAGTGGAGATTGCCATTCATAGTGATTGTGGGTTGTTTGTTTTTAAGTTTTACTTCTTCCACGTATCAGACAATTTAATAGTACCGTCATATCAAGAAGCGTTGTACAATCTTTATCATAATCCATTTTGGGACATTTTTTCTTCTTTCTGGTTTCATTGTCATTAATGTAATTATTGCTATTTTTCAGTTGTGGCAAAATGTCGTGGTTTTAACAAGAACATCACTTGTGGCATGTGGCTAACTGGCCTTGCCGCTTTTTCTCTGCAAGTGCCTGTCAGGAGTTACAGAGGCCTGTCTAACAGGCCCTGGGAAAGCGTGTTCTTTTTAGTGACGCAGCATCTCAGACGGGGTGGGTGCTGGTCCCCCAATGCTGCTTCATGTATGAAGAAATCCAGTCTGTCTTTTCAGAAGTGACTCGACGGCGGTGCATTTGGTTTTTGGTGCCTGCCGGTCACTCTTTCCCTCGGGGAGGCTGGGGGCTGGGGGTGGTGGAATGGGGGTGACAGGCTGGGACACCTAGGAGACCACAGATGCAGACGCTCCCCACGTGGTTATCCTGGATGCTGGGCTAGAGGACTCCTTGTGGTGTCGTCGATGTGCTGTGAGACTGCACCGGTTTCTTTGTAGTTTTAGTTGAACCTCCTCCTTGGGGAAGCCTGCTCCTCTCCGCAGGGTGGCTTTTTGAGAGCATGCCCTGGCCAGGGCCCCTTTCTGTTTTGCACATTGTCACTGCCTCCTTCCCTCGCCTCTCTTGGCCTCCGCTTCTGCAGCAGAGGAGTGACTTCAGCTGCTCTCGGGCCTGTTCCTGACCAGCGTTGTGAGCGGCCAGTGTTCATGCTTCTGCTTCCAGGCTGCTGTCGTCACGTGGGAAGGCCACTTAGCCCTCTAACGGCTTGCTGCTTCCACCCGGTGTCCTCTAGGTGTATGAGGGCTGGGACTGTTTCAAGGTGAACGACGTCCTCGAGCTGTATGGCGTGCTCTCTGTGGACCCTGTGCTGAGTGTGCTGAGCGAGGACAGGTGGGTCCGTTTCCAGTTCTTCAGTAGTGAAGCCACTTGGTGCTGGGGAGAGGGGAGAGCGCGCGCTGAGCCCGCTGCCTGGGCGGGTGCCCAGTCTGGCCACTTACTAGCTGTGTCTGGGGCTTCCTGGAAAGTGAGGGTAGTTGTCAGGGCAAAGCATCAAATAGTGTCTGACACACGCCAGTCCTCTGCCAGAGGTGGACCAAGGAAGATTGTCCGTGCATCTCTCTTCGGGATCCCCAGACAGTCTGAAGATTAAAAATGTCTTGGCTGCGTGTTTCCATCATCTGCCACCTGTTAATTTAGCAAATCTGAACCACTCGCGACTTTTCTGCTGTGTGTTCACTCACTGCTCCGAGGGGTGGAAGAGTGACCACGTAGGAGAAGCGCAGTCTGTGTCCACTGAGCTCCAGTAGGCAGCTTCTGAGAAGGGGCCTGGGCAAGGAGGGTGCTCGGAAGTGTCCGGTGCCCGGGCTGGGCGTGACCTGTTGTGTGCGCCATTTCTTGTAGGGGCAGCATGCTCTGAAAACCTCCGTGTTCTTAAAGAATGGAGTAAGCGCAGTGTACATGACCTAACTGGGCTGAAATCTCTGCTGGAGAATGTTAGGACAAGGTGTCATTTCCTCTTCTGTAAGGGGAGGTATGGGGATAAAGACAGGGCTTTTTACTTCTGGAAAGAGTAGATCTCGGAAACCCATAGGGGCAGTTGTAACATGTCCTCCAGGCCGCTGTGTGTCAGAGTTGATTCGATGGAGGGAGAAGGAGAGGGGTGAGTGGAAAGCAGAGGGCCAGTGAGAAAGGAAGCCCCTCAGCCAGCTGACGTGACACCAGGGCTGCTGCAGTGGGCTCCCACAGAGCCATGATTGTGCAGACGGGGCAGTGTGGTGTACGTGGAGCCTCTCTTAGGCAGCTGACCCAGGGGCATCTCACAACCTAAGCAGCTGGGCTCTCACTGTATTGAGAGGTGCCCCTGGGTCTGCCCAGGCTGACCTGTGCGCCCCCACCCCAGGGACGCCTCCTCACTCCTGGACCCGATGGAATGCACAGACACCTCCGAAGAGCAGCGGGTCCACAGCCCTCCTGCCTCCTTAGTGCCCAGGATCCACGTGGTTCTAGCCCAGAAGCTGCAGCACACCAACCCACTCCTGCCGGCTTGCCTTAGCAGAGAGGAGAGCAAGAGCTGTACGTGCCGAATCCAGGACCCCATGCCCTCCCCCGCCTGTGTCCGGCCGGTGCCTTGGAGGCTGCAAGGCAGCTGCCCTGTGTGGTCATTGTCGCTTGCCCCCACATCTCCATGTCTGGGCCCCATGCTGTCTCCGGGTGATTCTCTGGACTGAAATGTAGCAAAATCAAAGTATGGGCACTGTCACATTCTTGACATTGGCTTCACCTGCTGACCCAGATCACAAGCCTGCCCTGACCCTTCTCCGTAGCTGGGCTGAGGTCTGGGCGGTGGGTGACTGGCCTGCGGTGGTCACTAACAGGACTCTCTTTCTCCTGCAGTTGCTGCTGGTTTCATGGCCGAGCTGTCCCCAGTCCGTGCCGAGCTCCTGGGCTTCTTCACACACGCCCTTCTGGGAGACAGTGTGGCAGCCGAGTACCTTATACTCCATCTCATCTCCACCGTGTAAGTGGCTTGTCCGGGGGCGGGCCAGGGACTCGCACCGTGGGGTCTTGGAGAGGAGCATGGAGGCGCAGTAGTTAATGGGCCCTGCTGCTCAAACCCACCTGCCACTCTGGGACAGTGATGTGGCAGTCTGCTTGCAGGGGACCTTCCTGCTCCCCCAGCCCGTCCACTGCCCTCTAAGGGCCGAATGAGTCAAAAGTGACTCCAGCAGTCAGGTTGGGGACGGGAACATGTGTCAGTCAAAAGAGCAGGAAGGCTTCTGAGGTCTTTTGTGGGCGGGTCCCACAAAAGACCCTGTTCCCTGTAACAAGTGTTAGACTTGATCACACACAATCTTTTTGGTGTATTTTCACCTTTTCTCTGTTACGATTATCTTCAAGTTAGAGCCCACACCAGACCCAGGACCTGGTTACGTTATACAGTGTCCTGCATGCACTCTGCATTCTCCATTCCTGCATCCGGGGCCCTGTGGCCACAGACTAGGGCACCACATACGCATCTCCAGAAGTCTTGGCACAGGCTTCGCAGCCCGGGCCTTGTGACTGCAAGGGAGTCTCTGTGTTCTGACTTCAAGAGGAATGTCTGCTCCTCCGCCACGTCCCCGGAGAAGTCATGCTTCATCGTCACCACTCACAGGCATCTCAGCCGCTATCCCCTTGCCTGGCCACAGCCTCTCTCTGCAGATCTCAGCTGTGCTGGCCTCCCGTGTCAGTCACTTGTGTTTGTCATTAAGACCAGCGTTCCCCTGTCACACCCTGCACACGTTTTCACGGGGCCATTGGACTGCAGCTTGAACCAGCTCCCTAGCCCTAGGCTGTCCTCATTCTCCGTTAATAGCACGGCAGGAAGCGTCTTTGTACCCAGGGCAGACATTGAGCCAGTCACCCAGCATGGTTGAGACTACGCTTTGGAGCCCAAGTCCCTAGGCTTGGGTGGGTCCTAGCCGTACCACTTCCAGGCTGTGTGAACTGGGGCACTCAAGGACCATTTCTGTTACCCCCAAGTTCTTGTCCATAATGCAAAGCTAATAGTGCCCAGCTCGGAGTGTGGGGATTCGGTGTGTGCTTGTGCAAGGCTAGCTGTTGTTTGTACGGCTGCCATCTGGCAGGAATATAACTGGTCAAGGTACTACCGACTGTATTTTTAATCATACTATGAACTCCATGTTTGCTTGCTTGCTTTTCAAGAGGAAAAACTCGTTCATTGAATTTATTTTCTTTTTTTTAAGATACTCAAGAAGAGATGTTCTTCCGCTAGGAAAGTTCACCCTTAACCTGAGTGGCTGTCCACGGAGTAGTACCTTCACAGAACACTTGTACCGGATCATTCAGCATCTTGTTCCAGCAGTAAGACCAACCTAGAAATACCTATATCTCATGTTATTAAACCTGAACATGCTTGAAAAACCCCTGTAGTCACCATTTCACCCTCTATTTCACCGAGACTGTAATAGCGTCAGGGCAAGCGTAGCCTGCACAGGGACCTGACTGGAAGGTGCCCTCCCCTGTGTCCTCTTACTACCTTCTCTGCACCTTGCTGTCAGTCTCACAGCAGCATTATTAACTCACTTAAAGATGTACTGTCTACTGGGGCTGATCTGCGTGTGAAGTCTGATAAAGTGAGACTTGTTCATGAAGAATGCTGACCCAGGTATTGGAGAATCAGATAGCTCATGGGATCGGGGTGATTCTATTGAGGATCTTCCCACTGTTTTGCCCCCAAAGAGTCTAATAAGCAATGAGATTCTGCTCTTGGAAGCTTAAAAACATCACTCTTTCGGTGGGAAACAGCTCAATGCCCAGTGTAAATTGTGAAACAGGGAAAGCGTGTTCCTTGCTCACTAGGCACTTCTCTCCACAGTCTTTCCGTCTCCAGATGACTATAGAGAACATGAACCACATGAGATTCATCCCCCACAAAGACTACGCTGCCAACCGCCTGGTCAGTGGCCTCCTCCAGCTGCCCAGCAATACTTCCCTTGTAGTTGACGAGACGCTCCTGGAGCAGGGGCAGCTGGATGCGCCAGGTATGCACGCCGATGCTCCCTTTCAGCACCTGGTTCAGTGTGCCAGGGGCCACAAGCACATGAGTCGTGCTGGGACTCTCTTAGATACAGGAGCGAATTGAATTTGTGTACACCAGCCGAGCTTTTGAAGGGTAGGATAGGGCAGCACAGAACCTTTTGGAGGAGATCCATCCTGCCTGCTGCCATAGACCGTCTTGAGTGAAGCGTAGACCAGGTCTGATAAAAACACATACGCCTGCCCCTTGGGGTGTTTCTTCAAGATTTCAGACTTTGTGAAGAAAATACTTAGGTCAGATGGTGCAAATGCATATCTGTTGTGGAACATGCTCTAACATGAGAGAGGTGGCTTTCTCTGGACCCCAGTGGGAGAATTAAGAAGGGGATTAGCTAATGAGAAGCTCCAGAGGTAAAGCTTGAAGGAAAAATGCCATAGACTGGCTACTATGACGCCAGAAATGAGTGGAAATCGTCTTACCCAGGCGTCCTCAAACTACGGCCCGCGGGCCACATGCGGCCTGCCAAGGACATTTATCCGGCCCTCTGGGTGTTTTTGCTCCCCAACCCCCTTTTTTACTTCAAAATAAGATATGAGCAGTGTGCATAGGAATTTGTTCAGTCTTTTTTTAAACTATAGTCCAGCCTTCCAACGGGTCTGAGGGACAGTGAACTGGCCCCGTTTAAAAAGTTTTAGGACCCCTGGACTCTTACTCCTCTATATTAGCTGTGTGCACTCCCCGCCCAGAAGAATCCTGTTTCCTGGGCCTCGTCTCTGCAGGCTGTGTGCTGGCTGCTGGGGAATGGTGTGTGTGGGGGTTGGGTAGGGTCTGGGGAGGGAGGGGACGGTCTTGGCCCCTGCCGTTCTGGCTTGCCTCGTGCTTCCTGATCAAAGTCTCGCTGAGTTGCAGTAACAGAGTGAATGGGATAGCAGTGCCTTATTGAAGTGGCGGAAATCTCATCTCTTAATGTCCAATGTCAGCAAGACGAATTTGTTGAGGGGCCCGAACGCTCGAGAAACCACTCGTTTTTCTCCAGGTGTTCATAACGTGACAGCCCTGAGCAACCTGATCACCTGGCAGAAGGTGGATTACGACTTCAGTTACCACCAGATGGAATTCCCCTGCAACATCAACGTGCTCATCATGTCGGAGGGCCGCTCCCTGCTCCCGGTAGGTAGAGGCCCCGATGTGGCAGTGGAGTGAACACCCCGTCCCACATGGTCCTTTCTTTTCTGGGGTCTGCTTGCTCTGACACGGTTGGTGCATTTGTTTGAAGATGACGGCTCTTGGCTCTTAGTAAGGGAAGCTGTTCCTGAGTTCTTGCCCAAGGCCAGAGGACTGATGTCACATGAGCCTGGCAGCAGCTGGCTTACACCTGCCAGCAAAGCTGATGACGGGAAAGGCCTCCCTCTAGGGCTACACGAAATAATGGTTTGATCAACATGCTGAGTCTCATTGTCCATCAGTGGACTGACCAGTAACGCTTTCTGCCACTTTCAACTCGGCAAGACATCTTTTAACAGAGCCCTGGTGGTGCCATGGTTACATGTTGGACTGCTAACCTCGACGTTAGCAGTTCAAAACTACCAGCTGCGGTTTAGAAGAGAGATGAGGCAGTCTAAAAAACACAGGAGGAGTTCTGCCCTGCCCTATGGCGTCACTATGAGTTGGAACCACCTGGTTGGCAGTGAGTTTTTGAATTTAATCACCTGTGACTGTGCTGTGCCGAGAAATGCCCGGGCACCGGAAGAGGGCCTTCATCTGGCCTGCAGGATGCGTCTGTAGGGAGGTTGCTGAGCTCTGCTCCCCTCCAGCTCCTTCAGTGTGTCTGTGTATGTAACTATCCTCTCGGTGACTGATGGGAAGTGGAGCCCGTGATTTAATAAGGTGGGGCATGTTTTCAGGGGTGTGTGTGTGTGATTTACTTTATGTAGTTCCTAGAGAGGCCCCTCGGTCAGGATACCTGCTTATGGAAACAGCAGAACCACTTTTACTATCTGCTTGTGAGGGGCTGCCCACCTCTCTCTGCTTCCTGAGTTGAGAAGACAGCTACTGCCTATTTGAGATCGTGCGCTTGTAAACCAGCCTCAAGAGCAGATCCGCTTCACGCCACCCCTCTGCCGCCATTGCAATAGCTGGTATTCTAACTCTCGGATGGCGTGGACAGTTGATGCATCCTCCTGACATTTCCGAGTGATTTGGGGTTTGGAAAATCCTGTACACGTTTCTCTTTGCAGGCAGACTGCCAGATCCATCTGCAGCCCCAGATCCTCCCGCCCAACATGGAGGAGTACATGAGCAGCCTCCTCTCGACGGTGCTGCCCTCCGTGCTGAATAAATTCCGCACCTACCTGACCCTCCTGAGATTCCTGGATTACAGTATCTCTGAGGAGATAACTAAGGTGCGTTCGGGTCACCATCCAGGTTTCCCGGTGCAAAAACAGTTCCCATCGACTAGAAGTACCGAGCAGAAGTCATCCTGTTGGGGGCTTTCTGTGTGTCCCGGCTTTTGGTTGAGTTCCTCCGTTATTGCCGCCTTTAGTGTGAAATAGCACTTTTCCAATGCAGCATCTCAATTTCCTAATTTGTCCATAATTTTTTGTTATTTTCTTAATGGCTGTTCTGTGGATTGCAGCTAACATCTTCATGGGCAACAGTCTCTGTTGATGTCCAGAGGCTAGCTCGTAGCAGTCCCACATGCTCTAGCAAGTAGGCAGTCTCATTGGGATGAATGTCGGTTCCCTTTTAAGTGCCTCCAAAAACGTCCCATGGCCCCAACCTTTTCCAGTCAGGCCCAGGTTTGGGTTTTCTCGGAGACATTTTTATTGCCCCCAACCCCCGCCACGTACAGTGCATCCTTCCTGTGTGTACTTGTCATATCTTTTGAAAAGGAAATCCATTGTTGTGTAATTAGTGACTGTTCTGTGAACAAATGCCCGTGGCTGTGCTTTTTGCAGTTTGTGGCCACAAACGTCTCTGTTCCATTAGCTTGGCTGAGGTTCCCCTGCGTTGCGCCATGCCTCCCCAACTGCCTGAGCCCAGAGGAGGGGCTCGGGGCCTCCCCACATCTCTCTCGGGCGCATGCACAGCCCTGGCTGGCAAGGTAAAACGCCACAGTGCTGTTTGCTGGAATCAGTCATCCCTTACCTGCTACGGGCCCCTGGTTAGTTTGTAAAGAGTTGAAAACATCTGTGACTGCTTTGCTTTTTTTTTTTTAACATTTTATTAGGGGCTCATACAACTGTTATCCCAATCCATACACACATCAATTGTGTAAAGCGCATTTGTACATCGTTTCTCAAAACATTTTCTCTCCATTTAAACCCCCGACATTAGGTCCTCATTTTTCCCCTCCCTCCCCGCTCCCCTCTCCCGCATGAGCCCTTGATAGTTTATAAATGGGTATTTTGTCATATCTTGCCCTGTCCGACGTCTCCCTTCATCCACTTTTCGGTTGTCTGTCCCCCAGGGAGGAGGTCACACACAGTTCCATGTAATCTGTTCCCTCTTTCCTACCCATTCTCCCTTTACCCTCCCTGTTTTGCCACTCACACCACTGGTCCTAAAGGGCTCATCCGTCCTGGATTCCCTGTATTTTCAGTTCCTATCTGTACCAGTGTACCTCCTCTGGTCTAGCCAGTCTTGCAAGATAGAACTCGAGTCATGGTAGTGGGAGCGGGGAGGAAACCTTTAGGAACTAGAGGAAGATTGTATTTCTTATCATTGTTACATCGCACCCTGACTGGCTCATCTCCTCCCCGAGACCCCTCTGCAAGGGGATCTCCAGTGGCCTACTAATGGGCTTTGGATCTCCACTCCGCACTCCCCCCATCATTCACTATGGTAAGATTTTTTGTTCTGATGATGCCTTACACCTGATCCCTTCGACACCTCGTGGTTGCATAGGCTGGTGTGCTTCTTTCATGTGGGCTTTGTTGCTTCTGAGCTTGATGGCCGCTTGATTACCTTCAAGCCTTTAAGACCCCAGACGCTATACTTTTTGATAGCCGGACTGCTTTGCTTTTAAGGGAGGAATTGTCACAGGCCCTTACCCCATCCCCCTGCCCGGTTTCAAGGGCATCTCGCTGGCACTGCAGGTTGCCCGAGTTGCCGGTTTGCCTCACCTCCTCCAATGAGGGTGGATTCTGTTACTGTTGAGGGTGGATTCTGTTACGGTGTCCACAACACTTCCACCAGCAGCGGGGATGGTGTGTGTGGTGTGTGCACGCGCGTGCACACGTAAAGTCTGCATTTCAGTTTTTACCCTCCTGCCTGCTGTGTCCGAGAGAGAGGCAGGGCCGGCACCCTCGACGTTTACGTCCGCCCAGGGACCACAGTGCCACACGCCCTTTCCCTGTCAAGAGCAGCAGCCTTTCTTCTTACAAGTGGTATGAGAGACCCCTCCCTCTCGCGCAGGCGGTGGAAGACGACTTCGTGGAGATGCGCAAGAACGACCCGCAGAGCATCACGGCCGATGACCTCCACCAGCTGCTCGTGGTGGCGCGGTGAGTGCCGGAGCTTCGCGGACAGCGCTGTCCGTGCCACATCACCACCACCACCACGCGCAGGGGTTTTAGGGCTGGCCTGAGACACTGCAGTCCCCGGGCAGCGCCCACGTCCCTGGGACTGCCTGCGGGACTCTGCTGGGGCATGTCTGCCCGTCACTGCCGTCAGCAGCCAGCTGTGCTTGTCCTCATTAGGGCGTAACTGAGGCAGACTAGGAAAAGGGAACTGCCCCGTTCCCTGTGAGGCTGGCTGGGGGTGGTGTTGGGGGAGGCCGGTGCTCAGGGAGGGGACTCTGCTTGTGCCTTCCCCGAGGTTCAGCTGCAGCCCTCACGTGGGCCAGGGTCTAGACTGACACGTGCTGTTGTGCATCTTGAACCAGGTTTCTGTCCCTCAGCGCCGGGCAGACGACGCTGTCGCGAGAGCGCTGGCTGCGAGCAAAGCAGCTGGAGGCCCTGAGGAGAGGCAGGCTGCAGCAGCAGCACTGTGTGAATGGGAACGAGCTCTGAAGCGGGCTGGAAAGAACGGCGGCTCGCTCGGGCTCACCACCCTGCCCGAGACCATCGTTTTGTAGGTCGTTGTATTGAGAACCAGTGACTGACTGCCTGAAGCCCAGCCTGGGAGCGCCTCGAGTTTATATGGTCTTCAGTAAGCACTTTTCCCTTACTGATTTTATGGAGCTTTTAAAGTTTGTTTTATAATTACACAAATTAGTAACAATGTTAAAAAAGGTATTTGATATTAAAGTTTAATACTGATCATGTTGCCGAATACACGCATCCACCCGAGTCCCAGGCCGGACTGCCTGCCGTTATCTCCGCGGAAGGAAATGGTTGTGATCTTCAAGTCGGAATCTTTCCTTCGAAATGCTCCTTCCCAGGGTCCCAGGATGGGAGCAGGGCCTACCTGCCGCTTTCCCCGCACACATGCTGCGACCAGCCTGCAGGCAGTCTTTTCCCTGGCAGTGGTCCCCAGACTTTGAGCTTTCACAGGCGAATATTATTTCCAAGACATCGCTGGACAAGGCTGCCAATTTTGTCTTTGCCAAGTAATCTGGAGTTACTACTGTGTATTCCTTTTTCTTAAGGGACAGTTTCAGAATTAGACTAAATGTAGCATTTTCTGGGTACATGGGAACACGCACTGCCCCCCTTTCCTTCTCTCCCCAGTGCAGGCGGGCTTGCTCACTCACAGGGAAGGCTGCCTACAACTGGTTTGGGCCAAATTGAAAGGAGCAAAATAGCGAACTCGGCAAAGAGAATCAAAGCTGCCTTTAGAATAAAAGGTTTTCTAAATGTCATTTAGTTGCTTTGTTGATTGTATTAGATTTTGGATTTTTCATTTCCAAAGGTGTAGATCAGGTGATGATCTGATAATTCAGTCCTGACCTGGTTGATGGAGGGTCTACCCAGACCAATTGTTTTCAATTAAAATGTTATGAACACAGTGGCTAGCAAGCAAATGAACAAATACTCGAGTAGTCACTTTTCCTAATAAGGATATATAAAGATTTCTTTTAATCAGGAATGAATGATTCAGGTTTTTCCTAGGAGGCCTAAGCTGACACTGCTAACCCAGGAGACAGGGTCAGCCTTGAAAAGCCAGGGCGTTTGCTATCCCTCGTGAACTGAAGCGAACATGACTGTTTAATAACATCACTGTTAACTTTTCCTAAACTCAAAATCTATTTTTATAAACAAATGTAAATAGTCTGTCTATATTTAGAATTCTAACTGGTTTTCATTTTTATAACTGGTAGACTAGACCATAAACTTTCAGAAATAAAATGCTCAACTGGATTTGTGAGAAGATTCCTGCTCTATAACTGGCCTAGAATAGGTTAGTCGGTGATGTGTTTATTGTGCCAACGTGAATGTAATTGACCAAAGAGAAGTAAGTGCATCATTTGCTTGGTATGGAAGAAAAGTTCCCCTGGAAGAATTGGCTCCTCTTTCAAATAAATAAAACTCTGCAAACTACGAGTACCTGGGGCTGTTTTTTCATGAGTTCTAATACTCCACATCCCTTGTCACCTGCATCACCTTTGTCCCCTGATGAAAACCGTTACCCAGAAGGCCCCCTGTCAGGAGACGAGATCTGCAAGCTGTTGGCTGCCCATTATTGATTGATTTGAATGGCAGGGAACCAAGCAGACATCCTTACTCTGACTGGAACCAAGCCTTGCCTTAAGGCTTTAGTAGACATACCTGTGGAGCTGGAGTGCATGCCTCTACCACCTGACCTTGACGTGTGTGCTCTTGGGTTGTGGAACATTTAACACACAGGATTGCTTGTCATCCATTTATCACCTATAAAGTCATCAGAAGGCTCCAGGGGTCACACAATTAAAAGACTGCTTGTACACCAAGGTTACAAATTCTCTGACTTAAAATCAAAACTTTTCAAGGGTCACTCAAGTAATAATGACACAACACACGTTCGCAGGGAAAGTCACAAGGGTGTTTTATTTTAAATAGTCACAGGATTTGACACTTCAAATAAAGGTGCGACTAATAAATAACAAAGGCACCACAGACACAATGTTCAGCTGAGAGTCACTTCAAACAGGAAGGCCCTAGCAGACCAGACCCATGGAGACCTGTTGGGATGCAGGGCGGGGGTGGGGTCAAGATGCTGGTCACAGAACCAGCGTGAGCACAGTTGGGCTTCGGCCCCAATTCCCTACCGCTGTTAATTGTCTACACAAGCTATTGGGGAACGTGCCCTGGAGACTCACACTTAGAAGTTCCTTTGTATAACTGCCAGTTGCCAGTGTGCATGCTGCCTCCCTGAAGATGGCAGGGCTGCATTTTAATAGGTTGGTCTACACAGCTAATGTGCTCAGGTCAGCTTGGCTCCACTCGGGAGTGGGGACACTCCTGGACTGGGGCGGGGTGCTGGTTCCGGAATGCTGTCAGTTGGGTCTGGAGAGTTCAATGAGCAGACTGGAGGGAACTCTGTCCACGCACAACCAAGCACGCTTGTCTGCAAATGCTCTTCGATGCCAGTACCGTCATCACTAAAATGCACTGTGCTACCTACCTTGTTAAGAGGCGCTACAGAGTCAACTGACTGACAAAACCAACAGAAAAACACCAATCCCAGACACGTCTACCTGCGCCCACCTGTCCTGTCTACTCCACACCATCCACTGCTTCCAAAAGGCCCAGCTTCTGCCCACAGTGACCCACTCGACTCCCGGCTTACTTTTACACATGGGCCGGCCAGCATGTACCCCTCAGACCTGCGGGCTCAGACCGCATAGCAGGCACCTTGGAAACTGAACCAGGTTCCCTTTAAAACCTTTTCTACTAAACATAATTAGAATACGTGATCCCTAGAATCAGTACGAGGAACAGCAGGCGAAGGCAGGGAACCGCCCCTGGGGTTAAATAAAAGCCACAGGAATCTTGGTGGCAGAAAACTAAATCTGAATGATACGCGTCTGGCATTGTGTGAACATGTGTCTGAGTTCATTCTGCTGGGCTGCGTTGGCCACTTCGGGCTCTGCAGGACTCTTCTGGACTTTGGCCACCAAGTGGATCCCATGGGTTAGTCCAGCTTGGGTGATGTTAGCAACCTGGACCATGGAACTTCGGATCTTCGCAAAGGGAGAAACCACCCTGCTGCTACTGCCTTCGGAGGGGGAAGGCGTTACATTACGGCCCATCTCAAGTTCAAGCACACTAGAGCCAGAGCCTGGGGTCTTCTGAGAGCCGACCGTATGCACTGACTCAATGGACAAAAACTGGGGGCCCTTTGCAGAAAGGGACACATCTAACTGAGATGGTCGCAAGGGTGTTGGTACCGCTGCTTCTGACTGGGTCTCCTCATTAGAAACTTGGCTGGTCCCCTGATTCCCTTCCCCCGGAGTTTGCCCAGAAATGGCCCCACTTTCTGCTGGCTGGGCCGTTTTGCTCTGGGCATCCTGGGCAAACCGCTGGCAATAAACATCCACGGGCTTGGTAAAGCCAGTAGTCAGTATGTTTCTGTGGCCGGCAGAGGGGCTTTTCTTCACAGGTGACTCACCACCCAGTCCACTTCTGTGAGTGGCAGTCACTTCAGAAGGAACAGGAATACTGATGTCACTGCTGCTGATAGACTGGGATCGGCTGCCCAGCCTGGGCGCCGAAGCAATGATCCCACAGCTGGGTAGAACGTAGTCTACCTGCCCGACGCTCTCTAAGGAATTGGCAAGCTGCCCGTCTTCGTCAGACTTGGAATTGGTCAGGAATTCGTCAGAGTGATACGAGTCCTCGTCGGAGGACACCTCACCATCAGAGCCCACCTGGTCCTTGCTGTCCATCACACCTGCGCTGTCCATGGTTTCCAGGCTACTGTCCGATTTCCAAAGACTGACTTTTAAGTTGGGTTTGAGAAAGTTAACTTTGACCTCCGGTTTTGCGAAGTGTCCTAGCTTCCGCAGATTGCCGATACTTACGTTGGATTTCGTCTGCTTAACTTTCTGATTGAGGGATGAAAACTTGCTTATTAAGAAGTTCTTTCCTTGGGCCAAAGAGCCTTGGTTTTGAGATCTGATACCAATGATGTCTTCGTGAGGTTTGCTGCTCTTCCTGTAAAGAAGCAGTGAAAAGGGTGATTTCTGTATGGGGCCCAATCTGTGAAAATACCCTGCTTTTAAAGCTTTGCTGTAACTTCTTGAAAACACTGGCTCAGGCCAGAGGTGAATTTGGAAGGGAACCACATCACCAGATCCACTGTGACTGAGGCAATGCTGGCTCACAGCCACCCTACGGGCAAAGCAGAACTGCCCCAACAGTTTCCGAGGCAGGAAGTCTGATGATGGAAGCAGACTACCACACATCTGACTCCTGAACAGCAGCCGGAGGGTCTGAACTGCCAACCTCTTGATGAATGGTTGCGCTCCGTTACCCACTGGGCCACCAGGCTTCTCTAGAACAGCACCTGCTGTCCACCAAGATGCGAGCTTTGTAGCTTTAAGGTTTCTATTCTAGTTGCCATATTAGAAAAAACAGGTGGGATCAATTTTAATATAAACACTGGATTTGCTCTAAGATACTAAAGCAATTTCAGTTTGACTATTAAATATGAAAAATGAGTGAAATTATATTACATGCCTCTCAAGTCTTTGATTACAGTACATCTGAATTTAGATGAGCTGCCTTTCAAGGGCTCCAAAACCACAGGTGCCTATGCTCTGGGCAGTGCGGACCTGCCAGACTCCTGCGGACACCGCAAGCAGCCACACAAGGGAATGACAAGTCATGGGAAGCTGCGCCACCTTAATGAAAGCTGCCCAGAGGGTGTGGGGTGGCGTATCTTTTTTTTTTTTGAGAGTTAAACACCACGAGCCAGTGATATTTACTCCAGGAACGCAGGGATGGTTCAACATGAGAACATCAGTCATGTTGGCATCTCTTAATACTGCTTTGTTTCCTGCGGGTTTCCAGGAAACCATGTGACCCTGGTTTCCCGTGCTTGGCCCATGCCATGGTCTTTTCAGTGACCTCAGATACATGGGAAAGCTGGACAGTGAATACGGAAGGACAGAAAGACTGATCCAGTGGAGGTTTGGTGCTGTCGGGGCATAGTGAAAATACCACCGGCCGCCAGAAGACCAAACCACTCTGGGGACTTGAGAAGCGAGGCTGGCGAGCCTCTGTCCCGTGTACTTTGGCCACGTTATCAGGAGAGAGCAGGCCCTGGGAAAGGCTAAGTCGGGAGTCACTGCAAACCAGGGAGACCCTCGATGCTTGACGTGGGGAGATCGTGAGCCAGAATCCACTTGACAGCACCTATCTACGGCTGAAGAGTTTTCTCCTCTGGTTACGTGTTATCAATGGGGGGACCTCAGTGCTTTTCCCCATGTATCTCTGTACTTCTAGAAAAATGGACTCCATGCTGCTTCTGGGGAATCCCCACGCACTGGCTTTGCTACTGCTCTTAAGTTTAAGTATTAGCTGAAAATTTCACACACAGTTTAAATACAAGCAACAATTTCTAATCCATAGAAATAGAAAGCTTTCTTCTCTAAATACTAACATATTAACAAAATATCACCTTCCTCCTTTTCAAAACATTGTAAAGAACTAGGACTTCACATAAGGACATCTTCATTCTTAGGAGAGTAACCAAAGGAGTACGCTCACCGTTCAAGTTTCTTCTCAATTATAGGCACCTCCGGCCCCACGGCTTGCTTGGTGATCTGCAGCATCTCTGCGATGCACTGCAGGGTGTCTGCAACCCAACAGAACACGTGCTCACACAGAATGCAGCAGAACCAGAGAACCGGGTTAACTGACATGAAAACGGTTTCAGCTTTGACCAAAGACTAGGAGAATCTTGATTAATGAATTTCAAATTCTCATGGAATATAGACTTTCTGGAGCCACAGAGCCTAGCTGAACCCCTAAATCTTTGTCCTAGATCTTTAAACCACCAACTAAAAACATCTCAAGTGTTCTTGAAATCCAACAATAAACTCAGGGCTACAGTCAATGCTGACTCACAGCGACCCTACAGGGCAGGCTAGAACTGCCCCTGAGTTTCTCAGACTAATTCTTCATGGAAGTAGAAAGCCTCATCTTCCTTCTGTGTCGTGACAGGTGGTTTCAAAGCAGCCCAGCGCCTAACTACACCACAGGGCTCCTGTAAACGTAATGCGATCCAGTTGGTTCCGACTCAAGGCCACCCTTGAGGACAGGGTAGAACTGCCCCCGGGAGTTGCTGAGACTAACTACTGAAGTAGAAAGCCTCGTCTTCCTTCTGCAGAGCCGGTGGTGACTTTGAGCTGCTATCTTGTAGACTGCAGCCCAACACATAGCCCCTAGGGATCTTCGGTGTGGTGGTCCACTTGCCTAGGCTATGATTTTCAGAGTTTGGCAGACATCAAACATCATTTTCTTCCACAAAGTGATATAATGTAATCAGCCTCCAGTTGCATTCTGATGTGAGAAGCTAATTAGTTGAAAGAAAAGTCCATTTGTTTCCTAGGGCGTGTGGGCTGCGTGCGACTCATCCTGACCTGTCCTTGAAAAGTGACCTAGCAGTCTGCTATCTAACCTGCAGATTCGGCGCTCAGCCCCGAGAGCCGTTTCCTTGAAATAATCGTAGGCCTGCACGGACCAGCACACGCACGCGCGCGCACACACACACACACACACACACACACACACACACGTCACAGGCGTTGCTGTTCTAGACACACCAGCCTAGGATGAGGCAGGGAGTTTTCCGTTAAAGGGGTGGGCCATTTGGAAAAGAAGAGAATGGCTGCACAATTTAAATAATGTCAGTGGCACTTGTGGGGTGAGACCATGCAAGTAAGGTGTGCGGGACCCTAACCACGTGATGGAACTCTCTATTCGTGGAACTGAAAGCGCTTTCTGCCAGTTAAAGAGATGAACACCCCCGTCAGCCCCACTAGGCGTACACCAAACTATCCCTGGGGTGGGGCGGGGGCTCACAAAGATGAGATAGGGATGGAACACATCCTTTGGGCCTGGCGACCCTGCAGGAGACCCACCCAGGTAAGGAGATGGACCACTGCATGCAGCAAGCATGACAGGGAAGCAACAGGAGATGATGGGCTGCCTGGTCCATACAGCGAGGGACAGGAGGCTTGCTAGCAGAGGGAGTGCCTTCAGGTCCTTGGCAGAGCTAGGCTCCCTCACCCACGGGGCTAAATACTGAGCTGAGCACCTTCCAGGATGAGGCTTGCTGGCAGAGTGGCCTATGTAAGGGTACTGTTGGCAGAGCTGAAGAGCTTTGTAACACTTGCCTGAGCAGGACAGAAGCTGGGCCAAGAGGCCAGGACCAAAGAGAGGTCTGTGTGGGGGCAGAGCTAAGGAAAGGCTCTCCTGATAGAACTGTATCCTGAGCCATTCTTGATTCTAAATTGTAACCTGCTACATCCCTAATTAACCTCATGACGGGCTTGTGAGTTGTGTACGGCCACTGCAATGACATCTCAAGCCCAGCAGAGACAGAGAAGCACCGTGGGAAGGATGGCTGGTATCAGAATTGGCTGAGAGGTGGAGGGATCCCTGACCCCTCCCAGCAATCAGCCCTGGGCTGCTGGTGTGGCTTTTTGTGCTCCTGTGAAGGAGCCCTGGTGGTGCAGTGCAACAGGATGGGCTGAGATCGGCACGGTCAGCAGTTTGAAACCACCCGCAGCCCAGCGGGAGAAAGACGGAGCTTTCTACTCCCCTAAGCAGTCATAGTTTCAGAGACCCACAGGGGTTCGTTATGAATCAGCATCAACTTGATGGCGGTGAATTTAGATGAGGTGGCCCAATGTCCTACACTGCTACCTGCACCCCCTAACCCCTGTATTTACTACCCAGGAATGAGGCCACGGGGTGGGAAAGGCCTGGGACTTGAGTGACTCCCTATAGGACAGACTCCTTTGCCCCAAACGGCATTTTCAGTTCCATTAAACCACTCTGTTGCCGGGGACAAAGTTGCTAATTTTAAGGTCTCAAGTCACAAAACTATTCCTCAGAACAGTTCTCATTCGTTGGCAATGCTATCGAACGTCTCGACTTCCAGGGGACTTGGAGTAGACAGAGTCGTCAGTGAACCCCACTCATGTCTGCTGGGTTACCTTTTCCATCCTCTTCCGGGTTGCGCATCACAGCTCTCAGCGTGTGGAAATAGCCACTGGTGTCTTTGTGCTTGTAGTGTAATCGCATGCAGGAGAACTTGGGCTTACCAAAAAGGGTGGGCTCTGGACCTATAGACCCAAACGATGATGCGTAAGTTACATTTTCTATAGATTATCGACTTTCTCTTCTACTCGGTGACAAAGACTGTGGTAAACTGGAATTAAAAGATAATGGGATTTCCCCACAAACTTTCTGAAGGCTCTTTGTGCTATCCTCATCAAAAAACTATCACCAGTTAGCTATTATGCATATTGTCCATCACAGCCCCAACTAGAACACAAAAGGTAATCAATCAGCTTATCATAACCATTTGGTCTGATGAGGCTACAAACGAAATAAAAACTCTTGTTCAGTCTCCAAGTTTTCAAGTGTTTTGATCCTTGGGTTAATCATCAGTACCTGAGTAATAAGTGGGTTATAGGCATTATGAGACTGCATCCATTACTAATTTATAAAAAACAAAGTCCCAGAGGGTGGGGTGGAAAGGGGGAACTGATTACAAGAATCTACATATAACCTCTGGGGATGGGCAACAGAAAAGTGGGTGAAGGAAGAGGTCAGACAGTGTAAGACATGACAAAATAATAATAATTTGTAAATTATCAGGGTTCACGAGGGAGGGGGAAGCAGGGAGGGAAGGGAAAAGAGCTGATACCAAGGGCTCAAGCAAAAAGCAATTGTTTTGAGAATGATGAGGGCAACAAATGTGCTTGATACAAGGGATGGATGTATGGATTGTGATAAGAGGTGTATGAACACCCAATAAATTGATTAAAAAATAAATAAACAAAAAGGAAACAGTAAAGGAAGAACCTTTGAACTGCAGGAAGATAAAACAGAGTAATTTTTTATAAAATTTTTAATTAAAAAATAAAAAACAAAGTCCCAGAAACAGACTGCTTAGCGTCTCTATTTCTAATAAGATCTCATATCAGTTGCTTAAATAATTTGACCATCTCTTTAAAAAAGCCCAGCATTTTCTTTTCCTTTGACTTGGATATCCAAAACTATGCAATGCCATTGAGTTATTTCCATTCATTGTGACCCCATGGGGTTTCCCAGGCTGTTACATCTGTAAAGCAGCAGATCACCGCACCTTCCTACCACAGGGTGGCTGCTGGGTTTGACTGCCCAAAACTTAGTAGCTGAGCACTTAACCACTGTGCACTAGGGCAGCACACTAAATGTTACCTATTTCTATTTTTTCCAGGTCTTCTAGACTTAGTCGCTGATACTGGTTTACTTTATCAACTTCATCGTCGTAACTAGACAGAAAGAACGGGAGGAAAAAGGATTAAAATCAAAAGCACAGTTGTGTCAGCTAAATAGTTGCAAATTACTGTGCAGTTAACAGAGCCAGACCTGCCTCCGCACCATACATCCTGCAGTTGTTAAGGAATTTAGTACCTTAGAGATATTCCAAACTAGCTGAATCAACACCCTGAGTGGTTCAATAGCTACAGAAAAATCGTCCTCATAGCAAAACTCTCTGCAGTCTCCTAAACAACAAACAGCTGAGAGAAATCGGAACTCAGGCCACACACATACATGTAGATACACACACAGGGCTATATGCGCTCAGGGATAGTAACTAAATCACATTTTCAAGTGACTAAGGGTCAAAGAGTAATTTAACAGAGCAACTAAAAGGGTTCCATGAGGTTTCATACGGCAGCAAACGTAGCCTTCAAAGGACACTCACTCTGGGTTTACAAAGGGCCACTTACTATGCGATGTAAATAGCCATGTCGGACAGCAGAAGCAACACTTCGACATCCCGATGAGTGGCGTCAGTGAGACTACAACAAACAAGACACGGATTACACATCGTCACCTCCATCAGTACCTACGCTAAAGCACATTTCTACAGCAGAGCCACTTATGCCCCCCCCACCCCC